GGTTGGATCAGCTGCAGCCCCCTGATTGATTTTTTTTTTTAATACCAGTAAAGCAGGCATGTCCAGTCCTCAAGTGTTATATGTCTTCCGAGTCCAACATTTGATTGATTCAAATGATTAACTCATCAGCATGCTCTGAAGACGCATGATAATGATCCTGATCATTTGAATCAGGTGTTTTGGAGTAGGGAGATTAAAAAAAAAAAAAAAAAAAAAAACGCAGGACAGTGGCCCTCGAGAACCGGGGTTGAACACCTCTGCTATAAAGACACCTTTATAAAAGCCAATAAAAGCATGAGCAAGTTTTTGTGTATCTTGTTGGGACAGAAAACCCTTCATTCAGCTGTTTTGTGGTAACAGGTGGATTTAGTGCTAGCTTTTAAGTGGTTGTTAAAATTCACATTTGAGTCAATAATTACACCAAGATTGATTTGTTGCTTTCAATGACATAGAATTAAGGCGAGTGCTGATCTTGGACCTTTCAATTTTGGGGTCGTATTTTCTGGATTGAGCTGGAGACAATTCCGCTCCATCCACTCATCGATTCGATGAATCCGCTTACTTGATGACAGCAAGGGACTGTCATCATGTGACAAACATATGAACGACATGAGCAACAATATGAGAAATGGGCTGCCAAACTGGCAAAACTACAGTGCATGTGAGAGATTGACATCAATACGGCTGGAGTGATATGCAGTGTACATACTTGTAGAACACCGATCAAGCACCTATTGGTGTGGAGAAAGAGTGAGAGATTGAGAAGATGAGGGCGAGGTGTGAAAAAGCAGCCATGATGAGAGGGATTCTGCTGGGCAGAGAGATTGATGACTAGCTTCAGAGGGAGAAGGAGAGATGGAGAATGGGGCCGGGGAGATAACGGAAATGGGGGGTAGAATAGCAGAAAGGTCCTCAAGAAAAGAAGCTGGAACCCGCCACAAAACAAGTCACATTCATTTGCCTGATAAAAGGACGAACTACTTTTATAACAGTGCCACCTTCCAACAGCATGCTAGCATCATCGTAGCACATTTTACAAATCCACTCTCGCTAATTCGTTGGATCTTTATGTCGTGTTTTGCTGCAAGTCAGCAAATGTCGTTTTCTGCTGTGTGTCCTACAAAGAGTTTGGATCCTGAATTATGGTTTTCATGAAGCAGGATTGGCCTAACTTTGTGTCTCAATTAGACTGCCCTGTTTGTTTGTTTTTTTCTTTGTAGACTCGTGTGTTACCTCAAAAGATAAATACTATATAACACAAGAGATCAATATTTCAGATTTCATTTCAACTTAACTGGGCCCATTTCGAAGGATAGGCCAGGGAAGAGAGTTGAGAGGAAGACCTAAGAGAAAGATGGTACATGTAGTGAGGAAAGACTTGACAGCAGTTGGCAGCTGAGAGCAGGATGCAGAAGAGAGGCGTACAGTACTTGGAAAACGATAACATGCTGTGGGAGCGCCTAACGGGACTAACCAAAAGGAAAAGAAATATTTGCATCTGGATCTGATACACAACTTGCATTGTAGCACCTTTTGTGTGATTCCCATAAGTAGCGGGTGTCGTTTTACTTGCTGAATGTGTACACTCTGTTTCAGATTGGCGATTGGCATTGTATCTGTCAATATGACATATTCGTTGAAGGTGTAGCGCCTGCAGCCAACATGATTGTTGTTCATTTTGAAATCATTAGTTTTTAAATCTTGACATGGTGTTGCATCTCCTTACATGACAGCCATGCTCCACTCTTACACTTCAGCCAGTCCGCTTTGATCAGCAGACCAAAATGTCCTGAAAGTGTACCACAAGCTCAGAGGTAAATGCACCTTATAAATTGCTGCTCTGAAAGTGCGGAGGAAACTGCTGCTGTACATCAGGCAGGCCCTACAATACTTTTTTTTTTCACTCTCATTTAAAAACACATTTTTATTCTCTTACCTTCAACGCAGCATGAGATGTTCTTTTGTCTTCCCGTCTGTTACTGTTTATAATTTCTTCCTTGTTTTTGATTCCCTCTATGGCAGAAAACAAACAATTGTGAAGCTGAAGGAAAATGGGAAATCGATCATGGCCATTCGGCAAACACTGGCCTCAGCTAGTACGACCATTTGGAATATCCAGACTGAACTAACCACTTGTGTACTAAACAGTCACAGGTGGTCACATCAACATTGTGAGAGCTCTAATGAGATACCCTAAAACAACGGTCGTGACATGACTAACAACCTTCAGAGGGTCGGAGTTACGGTATCACAATCTAGTTTGCAGAAGATTTAATAAATGAAGAGGCTACTGCAAAAGATGTAAACAACTCATTGGCGAGGAGAATGCAAATTATCCGGTTGGAATTTGGCAACGTGGAAAATTTTAGATATTGTTCAGACACGTTTAGTTGATCTTTTAGCAAAGTGGTGGAATAAAAAGAGCTTTGAGAAATGATCTGCTTATGATCCCAAGCACACAAGCGTGTGAAACTGTGGAGGTAATATTGTGGCTTGGGTTTGCATGGCTTCTTCTGGGACACATGATAATAACCCAAACCACACAGCCAAAAGGAGTTCAGCGGGGCAAAAAGTGGAAACGTGTCTGAAGTCAAACATTTCAGTCTAAAGTCATATTCGCTTCTGTCTATTTGAAGTCTACTTTTCCACAATTTTTTTGCTCACCAAAAATGCGAAATAATGCCCTTTTTCGAGGTTGTGTATCAAATCCAGATGAAAAATACCTGAAAAGAAAGACTGATGTTTATTTTCTAATTATTTTAGCAGAGAGTATAACTAGCTTGAAGTTATTTGTCAACAATTTGTATTTGACCATGATTTGTTATTTTTTATTTATTGCTGAAATTCATCCCCTCATGGTTTGACTGTGTCCAATTAGAGTTGCAATTTTAGCAAGAGTTGCTAAAATTACCACAGCAGCGCCGGTCTAACTAATGAAGCGGCATCTCATTAAGACATGTAAATCCATATGCCCAGTCAGGTCTCATTCTGAGCTTTCGTACAGAGACAGTGAAAAGTGAATTTCTGGGGTTGGGGCGGGGCGCTTCTTTGGGGAGGCATCAGATGAGGAGACCAAGTGGATATTAATAATCTGCCATGTTAGACATTGCCTCATCTCACCAAATAGACCAAGTGACTTTGACTGGCCTCTAAGTTCAACAGGGACAAAAAGGCAGACGATTCGTCATTCCAAACAGTGGAGCTACTACATCATGGAGAGCTTCCATTGCTTTACTCCACAGTGCCTGTGATCAGAGGGAGCATTGTTTAGCTGACACCAGCCTTGGTGACGGCATTGAAAGTACATTAATCCCTCATTCATTGCAGGGGTTAGGACCCGACCAACTCTGGAGAGAGACAAAACCCGCCAAGTAGTGAATGTGTACATTATTATTTACAGTATGTGCATTTTAAAGCTTCATGCATATATTACCAAAATATAAGTGAGGTATAGGTTTTGTTTTTGTTGACTTGGGGTCACCGCGGGGAGCACGCTGTTCGACTGGTTAGCACGTCCGCTTCACAGTGCAGAGGTGCACGGTTTGATTCCGGCTCCGGCCTCCCTGTGTGGAGTTTGCATGTTCTCCCCGTGCCTGCGTGGGTTTTCTCCGGTTTCCTCCCACATTCCAAAAACATGCATGGCACGCTAATCGAACACTCTTAAATTGTCCCTAGCTTTGATTGTGAGCATGGATGATTGTTTGTCTGTGTGTGCCCTGCGACCAGGTTGAGGATGTCCCCTGCCTACCGCGTGAAGACAGCTGGGATAGGCTCCAGTACACCTGCGACCCTTGTGAGGATAAGCGGATTAGAAAATGGATGGATGGATGGATGGATGGATGGGGTCGCCCTCATCACATTTTACAGTCTTGAGGTATCTTTGACTGAATGTGTATGGCTTTGAGAGGCGGGGCCTGACCTGTTGAGTGATGTGGGACTGTGTGAATAGTTGGCTGACTGTTCACTGGCTTAATCATTTAGCCACTCTGTATTGAGTGATTCGGCGCCGCTCGTGGTAAATGGCAGGTCCTGTGAATGAAACCTTGAGCTCAAAAAAGCGATTGAAAGTGCACCGGCAGGTCAAGGGATTTTGATTCATTCTAACAAGCGCTGGTACCAAATGAAATTAGCGAACGATGTTTACCTCACCATAGACATGCAGTTGTGTAACCTAAGCCAGTTGTACTTGTGTTTGGGTACAAATGTGTTTATTCCATGTTTTTGTTGGGTTTTTTTTTTTTAATCATTTGTTCAGTAAAGCCACAGCGGCTGTGCCTATCCCTGACCACTTGGTTCTAACTAGCAATGGTCGTCTGTATTAAATTAGCTAACAGTGATGCATTACCTTACACTGGAAATCACAGACGTGCTGTCATGGTACACACTGCACTTATGTTATGTGTGAAATCATCCCAAACTTTGGACATTCTCTTTATTTTATGCTCTCTTTTCTCCTGGCTCATGCTTATTGAATCTCTTCAGTAACAGCCCTTGTGGAAAAACACTCCCCGCGACCCTTGTGAGGATAAGCGGATCGGAAAATGGATGGATGGAAGTGCAAAATAAATGATTTTCACTTCTGTTTTTTTATTGTCTGTGTATGGTGGAAACAACACATTATTATTATTATTATTATTATTATTATTTGCTTTCTTTGCTTTTTTTTTTTTTTTTTAGTGCAGCAATGCACTTTTTTACTTGTTGGAGCGGGAGCAAAAAGTTTCTATGTTTGCCTCTGTGGTGTCTGTGGTGAATATTTTCAAATTGTTTTCTTTGATAAGTCATACTAAAGTTCACCAGCTATGTGCCAGGACAGGTAACTTGTGAATGACCAGATTTGCACTCACTGCAACTTTTATTTTTCGGACTTAAACGAAAAATGACTTATCTTAATCAAGATTATCATATGGCATTTCAATGTTGATGCTCATCTTTTTCCCCTCACATAGTTCGGAATTTGGTTTCCACTGATCAGTTTTTTTCTTGTCATCCAATTTCAGATCCCGTCGGAGACAAGCCCAAAGAAAATCTGCGAAAGGCAATGGGACACAATAATATGTTGACCATGACGAGAAATAGCTGCAGATGTGCTTTTCAATCACACTAGATCGTAAAGAAGCCTGTTATTGAGGACTGATGTCCCATGCGGTGGAGGCGGCCTCAAGCTGTACCGCCCAATCTAAGAGTCCCCATGTAAGCCTGGTCTTGGAGTTTCCAATGCTGCCAACAAAGTAAACAGCGATGCCTTCAAAGGTCTCCTGTTTGTACTTGCTGACAGTGGTTTGCTGGGCCAGTGCTCTATGGTATCTGAGCGTGTCCCGCCCATCCACTTCCTATGTGGGCCAGCTGAATATCCCGATTCGCAAGTCGTCCAAGCTGAACAAGAACGCCACTTTCGGTAACTACCGCACCCGATCTCTGAATCCGCACGACTTCGGCTACCTCATCAACGACGCCAAGAAGTGTGAGGCGGAGACCCCTTTTCTTGTCATCCTGATAAGCACCACTCACAAGGAATTTGATGCACGGCAGGCCATAAGAGAGACGTGGGGCGATGAAAGCACATTTCCTGACGTGCGCGTGATCACGCTCTTCTTGTTAGGTCGCAGCACGGACGCCGTTCTTAACCACATGGTGGAGCAGGAGAGCCAGATCTTTCACGACATTGTCGTCGAAGACTTTATTGATTCTTACCACAACCTGACGCTCAAGACGCTGATGGGCATGCGCTGGGTGGCCACCTATTGCTCCAAAGCCCAATATGTTCTCAAAACAGACAGTGACATCTTTGTCAATATGGAGAACCTCATCTACAACCTCCTGAAGCCCACCACCAAGCCCAGGAGGAGATATTTCACCGGTTATGTCATCAACGGCGGGCCAATCAGAGACATGCGCAGCAAGTGGTACATGCCGAGAGACTTGTACCCAGATAGCAAGTACCCACCGTTCTGCTCCGGCACTGGCTACGTGTTCTCGGCAGATGTAGCAGAGCTCATCTACCAAACCTCACTGCACACCAGGCTTCTACATCTGGAGGACGTTTATGTGGGGGTGTGTCTGCGCAAATTGGGCATCCACCCCTTTCAAAACAGCGGTTTCAATCACTGGAAAATGGCTTACAGCCTCTGCCGCTACCGCAGAGTGGTGACCGTCCACCAGATCTCCCCCGAGGAGATGCACCGGATCTGGAACGACATGACCAGCAAGAAACACCTGAAATGTTAGCAGGACTCCTCCGGCCTCACTCTGTGAGTAAAGGAGCTATTGATTGACTTTCTATCAACTGCTTTTCCAACATCGGCAAACACTGTACAGCACAAAGCATTGCGCTGAAAGGAGAGTATTGACCAACCATTCGGGGCTTTGTCCAAATGCTGATTGCTTGGCCAGGAGGTTTTTTTTTATTTTTTTTTTCTCCTAGCACAAGGCCAAACATGCCTCTCTTTATCCTCCATCATTTCAAGTGTTGTCAAGTGCAACCAACCTTGCACACTGGCTTGTACGTCAGAAGGTAGTGGGCACACAGCCTTCTTTTTAATCACCAAAAGTATTATCTGTTATCAGTGACCAGTGATTAGATTAATACCAACACATTTGGGTTATCTCAAGTTGTACTGGTTGTATCTTCTGCTGTACAAAAGCCAAGTTTCCACCAGGTTCCATCAGTTCACGGCAGGCTATGTTTATCTGTCAACCAGTTCACAGATGGCAGCACAACCTCTTGGAAGCATATCGGTGAAGTTGGTAACCTTACAAAAAGCTGCCAATAAGTACAACTATAGTGATTATTTCTTTTTATATGTATCGCAACTTTTGTGACGTTGACCTAAACCAAAAAAAAAAAAAAAAAACACTGCTTGGTGGAAACAGGACTTTGGCTGTGCAGCAGCAGGCCTTGTTTTACGTACCATAATGACTTAATAGTGAAATGACTAAATGTGTTCAGCAGAGGAAAAGGATGCATCAACAACCCATTTGCCTCCATATGCTGTAAAATTACGGAAGCATATTTTCCTACAACAGATCCAACCTATCTTTTTATTGTGCGTCGAGGAGAAGAGAATCTGCTGCTTGCATTAGTAGTGAATTGTATTTCTTTTTCATGTGTACTGTGCAGCTATTTCTCTCAGGCAGACATGTGGTTATGTTCCATTACTTGAATGTGAATGAAAGTCAACGCAAGTGTGTACTTAGGAAGTGTGTGATTAGATTCAATAAACCCGTTAACCTCTTGGAAGCATATCGGTGAAGTTGGTAACCTTACAAAAAGCTGCCAATAAGTACAACTATAGTGATTATTTCTTTTTATATGTATCGCAACTTTTGTGACGTTGACCTAAACCAAAAAAAAAAAAAAAAACACTGCTTGGTGGAAACAGGACTTTGGCTGTGCAGCAGCAGGCCTTGTTTTACGTACCATAATGACTTAATAGTGAAATGACTAAATGTGTTCAGCAGAGGAAAAGGATGCATCAACAACCCATTTGCCTCCATATGCTGTAAAATTACGGAAGCATATTTTCCTACAACAGATCCAACCTATCTTTTTATTGTGCGTCGAGGAGAAGAGAATCTGCTGCTTGCATTAGTAGTGAATTGTATTTCTTTTTCATGTGTACTGTGCAGCTATTTCTCTCAGGCAGACATGTGGTTATGTTCCATTACTTGAATGTGAATGAAAGTCAACGCAAGTGTGTACTTAGGAAGTGTGTGATTAGATTCAATAAACCCGTTTTATAAGGTTTGACATTTGCATTTGTTAGATTTAATGCATAAAGTATATGCAATATTCTGATGTTCAGAATGACACAAGGCTGAAGAAGGTAAGATGCTGCAGAAATATTTGTGGCTCTGGAAACACTGCTGTCATTAATGTGGGATGACTAATTATTGAGGATAATTATTATTTGTATGGCCGACACCACCGGAAGTATCTTTAGCACTAACACATCATTTCTAGGGATGGAGCAAGACGTTTTTTGATTGATACGAGACGTATCGGTATGAGACCTCACGATTTAATATAATAAAGTAACAATTCAAAACGATTAAGGTGATTTTGAAATGATATTTCGACACTAACAATGGGTTTTCTGTAAAGAAAAAAAAACAAGCTTGTTCTCTTCATATTCTAGCTGCATACACTAAATGACCTTATGATCAGAATAAGAGGGTTCTTTCTATGCATTAAAACATCAATGTAAACAAACCCTTTTGATAAAGTGTGTCATAAATCTGAACAAATTCAACATTCTCTTATTAAACTCACATTAAATTAACCTGCTGCCGTGATTGTTCCGTTTGAAGGACAACTGAATGTCACAGTAAACAATTTTGCCAAAGGCCGTGTATCCTTTTTCCACGGTTATCTGGCAGCAAGACAATTCTCTGCGCGCTCCGCAATAATAAGTCATTCTCTGAACGGGGAGAGATTTATGAGCAAGTTTTAGAATAAATAAGGCAGCAACACCTTTTTGGTCTGTTGCACTAACTTGTACGGTAGACGCAGCTGAGTCATTCATTCCTGTTTGTTGCTGTTTGTGATGCCATGGCAATGGCTGAGACTCACTGACAAATAGATGTGTCCCCCGTTTGTAAAAGGCTAAACATCTCCATTCATCCATCCATCCATCCATTTTCTTATCCACTTATCCTCACAAAGGTCGCGAGCGTGCTGGAGTCTGTCCGAGATGTCTTCGGGCAGGAGGCGGTTGCCAGCCAATTGCATGGCACACAAAGATGAACAGCCATCCGCGCTCACACTCACACCGAGGGACACTTTAGAGCGTTCAATCAACATGCCATGCATGTTTTTGGAATGTGGGAGGAAACTAGAGTACCCAGAGAAAACCCACGCAGGCACGGGGAGAACATGCAAACTCCACACACAGTGCACTTCTGAACTGTGAGGCCGGCGCGCTAATCAGTGGAACACCGGGCTGCCACCGTTATACATCTCATTTTTTGCTAAATCCAATGCGTTACCACAGAAGTGAAGGCATTGCTTCTCCTTAAAAATCTTCTCCTTCCTCACTGTCATGATCTATATGGATCTATTGTAATCTACATCGTGTGCTTGATGTAAACAACGTAAAGACGCAACGCCGACCAGAGATGGCGTAGCACAGCAAAAAACAAATACAAGTTGGAAAAAAATACAATTAAAACATAAATAAAAAATAAATGGGCAAAAGGGAATTTGCTGTCGTGATCTATATGGATCTATTGTAATCTATGTCGTGTGCTTGATGTAAACAACGTAAAGACGCGACGCTGACCAGAGATGGCGTAGCACAGCAAAAAACAAATACAAGTTGGAAAAAAATACAATTAAAACATAAATAAAAAATAAATGGGCAAAAGGGAATTTTGAATCTAAAATTATTTAGCTAATCACATACATGGATACGTCTATCTAGGAGAGGTATTTTTAACACCCCGAGTAATTTCCCTGCACAGCAACAATGTTGATAAAGCTGTTGTGACCTTGCCTTTCTACTGTAAATCTCCAAGGTTTTCGTGACATCCCGAACCGTTCTTGTGTTCCTTACACCGCGTGATAAACATGTCGAAAGTCACAGTTTTCCTTGTTTTCTTGTGGAAATTTGTTGGTGCGACATTATGTTGACATTCCTTCATCATAACACTGTTCTTGTCTACTTCGTTTTGTGTGAAGTGGGAGGGGTTTGCTTGCACTTTCAAATCCAGAATCTATTTGTAATGACTAATAATAATTTCTGTTCTGTTTATGGTCCATTTGTTTCTTGGGAACCTGCTGGGTGGGAGCTCGAGAATGGCATCAATTAATGTGCTTTATTTTCTTCTATTGTTTTTCCTGCTATTTTTGCATTCGTCTGATCACCCCTTCCTCTGATGACTTCTTGGTGTATCCGGAGTAACAGAAAGAAGGTGCTCAAATCAGAGAGCGTTTAGTGGTTTATTACTTCCATAAAATGAAAAGCAAGTGAATATTCATGGGCTTCTGTAAAAAGCACCCCAGAATGAGCAAAGCAGAGTGATGGACAAATGGGAGCACTTCCTTTTCCCAAACAAGGCCTTGGATTTGAAACACCACATGCTTAAGGCATAGGCTAGACCTTGTTTCACATTGTACCCTAATTAGACTCTGCAAAGACTGCGGGCCATTTTTAATCCTGCATAATCTTCCTTCATCTCCTGGAAAACCCGCTGTCGGAGCCCAGATTTTGATATCCTTTTGTTCACATTCTTTCACCAAATCTTTGATCTATTTGTAATGACTAATAATAATTTCTGTTCTGTTTATGGTCCATTTGTTTCTTGGGAACCTGCTGGGTGGGAGCTCGAGAATGGCATCAATTAATGTGCTTTATTTTCTTCTATTGTTTTTCCTGCTATTTTTGCATTCGTCTGATCACCCCTTCCTCTGATGACTTCTTGGTGTATCCGGAGTAACAGAAAGAAGGTGCTCAAATCAGAGAGCGTTTAGTGGTTTATTACTTCCATAAAATGAAAAGCAAGTGAATATTCATGGGCTTCTGTAAAAAGCACCCCAGAATGAGCAAAGCAGAGTGATGGACAAATGGGAGCACTTCCTTTTCCCAAACAAGGCCTTGGATTTGAAACACCACATGCTTAAGGCATAGGCTAGACCTTGTTTCACATTGTACCCTAATTAGACTCTGCAAAGACTGCGGGCCATTTTTAATCCTGCATAATCTTCCTTCATCTCCTGGAAAACCCGCTGTCGGAGCCCAGATTTTGATATCCTTTTGTTCACATTCTTTCACCAAATCTTTGGCAACCTTTTGTTTTAGGGCACAAAAGGATTAGACTTTTTACATTTTCATACCCGTTTGTACTTGCCATCTTAATGCTGTCACCCTGTCTTCAGCCTGGAAAAGCAGTCTGATATTATAGCCGAGAGTGATGGGAGATTTCATTGCTAGATGTGAGGACCACTATCTGTTTTCTTTTTTTTTTTTTTTTTTTTTGTGTCCCGATACAGCACAAAGCATAGCTCCAGGCTAAGAAGGAGCCTTTTCATCCTCATGCATGAGGGGTGACTGCACATATAAAACACATCGAGCTCTGGCCACCTTTTTGGGTACCCTTTAATTCCCGATATTTTCTGTGTATGTAATGGCGGCATGGTTGCGCATGTGACTAGCATGTTTGTTTCACAATCTGAGGTTCCATGATCAAATCCAGTGCTTGCGAGGGTTTTCGCCATGTACTCTGGCTTCCTCCCATACTTATATAATATATGTTAGGTTCGTTGGAAATTACAATTTGTCCATGGATCTGAATATAAGAGTGGATGGTTGCCTGGCTATGCCATTGTCCGACAACATGTACAGGGTGTCAGTCAGCCGGAATCAGCGCCAGTTCACCGGTTGAATGGATTGTGTATAATGACGTCAGCGTTGAAATTATGGACGGTTCGATATAATCCCCTAGATCGGTATCAATCGACAAACAGGCCAAAATGCCTGGATCGGTATTGGATAGTTTTGATTTGAACCAGTCCACTCGAAGCAACTGCCATGGAGTCGCATGGTAAACAAAGACATTTCGCGTCAGATCTGAATCCAGCACAATTGGGCAAAATCTAAAAAAAAACAAAAGCAAAAAAAAAAAACATATGTACAATACAAAAAACTTTTTGACATACATGCTTCACAAAGTGAATGTGCCTTACAGCACAGTGAGGAGAGAATGTTTTAAAATAGGCCCATTAATTGATATTCAACTCAATGAAAAACAGGTCGGGGCATTTTTCAAGAGCTTGACGGCTCAATTGTGCTCAATTTTATTTCTTCAAGTGGTTGCATGAATGGGGTGTGTGGACAAAAGGGCTCTTTCTACACTGG